GSMRGRRSCYKKYCCSKKSCMWKGSAGTGCAGAACTGGCACTGCTGGCATTACCCTGTGCCTGGCATTATCCTCGTGCCCCAGCAATGCCCTGCACCCCTCCAAAAGGCAGAATTAGTCCCAAGTGGATGTGCAGCGTGTGTGTGGGTGCTGCTGGGAGCAGGGTGCTGAGAGCTGACAGCTTTCATGTGCAGGCTGGGACAAGCAGCTGCTGCAACAAGAATGCCTTGCTCCAGACAGACCTGTTGACAGACGTGGTTCAGTATTTCACAGCTCAGCCTTTCCTCATGGCCTTCAGTTTAATTAAGATGTTGTTGTGACTACATACTGCCTTCATTTCAGACTTGAGCGTCTTCTGCCTGCATATTGCCTCAGCTTATCAGAGGCACAGGCACAGTGAGGGAGAGGCAGCCCTCGCAGGCAGCACAGATAATAACATACAGGGAAAATTCCTCAATGAAGTGAAAATTATTTATAATAATRGTACTCAAATAGAAGGGAAATAATTCACTCTAAGGGTATATAAATTTTTATGATAGTGTATAAACAGCCATAGCTTGCCTTGTCTTCCATCTATTCCTGCAGAGAATGAGGGCAACATCTAGCATAAAGAAAAATACAATAAGAAAATGAAGAAATGAATGGGAAGAGCTGGAGGATTGATCACCTGGCATATTTGTATATCCTGATGTAAAAGGTGCTGCTGACAGGTGGCCAGGTTTCTTCTGTATAAAACCATGTGTGTGCTGTCAGGGCAGTGTGAGCAGCCTTGTTTCGATTGATGAATTGCCTGCTTTCTTGATTAAACCTTCCGTCACTTACAAAACAAAAAGCCTGTGTTTCGATGGCAGAGTGGGACATGTCAAAAAAATCTGTCTGCTTTACCTTTGTGCAGATGTTGGGCACAGACTGCAACATGTATTATTAAAATGAATGTGGCATTTACTGTGCATTATTTCTTTCCTGGGAGAAGGGACCTGTAAATTATATGCTAATAATAAGCTTTAACCCTTTCGGGARCCCGGAGATTTAGGAATGTGAATATTTTGCAGGCCTCACTAATTGGATGGGCTCTAACACCACTGCAGCACTTGGAAGTTCCTGAGCAGCAGGTTCCAGCCCTTTTTTTTTTGTTTTTGGTAGTGACAAAAGAAGTCTCTTTCAGAGGTCTTCCTAGATTTAGATTTTGCTATATTTCGGTGCCCATATGTCAACTTCCTTCTTGTTGCAAAATGCCAGGTTGTCTGGCCACATGTGCCACTTCCTTCAGTGTCTGTCTCCTTTTAAAACACACTGGAGCTCTTTTCTGTCTGTAGGAGGACAGATGCTTTAATAAGAGGTTAATAATTTATTTGTACAAACTATGGTTTTGCTTCATCATTTTTGTAGATAATTAAGTTATGTACTTGGCACAGCATGTCTGCTTTACTAAAACAGGTAATTTTGAAAAAAAAAGGGAGATGCTATTTTTTGGATCAGTGCACAAAGATTRCTTTTATCTTCATCTTCTGGCACAGTTCCTGGCGGTTCTGCGATTGTGTCTGATGTTCGAGGCATTTGAGACTSCCAGCCTGGGAGGGGAGGTCCTGTGCTACATTTTACTGTCACTTGGTCCCCATCCCTTCACTTACGTTCTTGGCGCTTCTTGAGAGTGGAAGCGGAACTAAATTCGTGTTTTGTGACACTGAATTTTAATCAGGATGGTCCAAAAGCCAGACAAGTTGTGACACGAGCTTTATTCTGCATTGAGACCTCTTTACTGAAGCTGAGATTAAAGTCAGGCTGTTCTTTACTCTATTGCAATTTCAGTCTTTGGACTAAGAGACCTGGATAATCTTCCAGCTATGAAAGKCTCTGTTAATATCCAGCAGTTCAGGGAGGCTGAGTCTCATGTAAAATGCTGCAGCTGCATATTTCAGAAAGGAAAGTATGTTACTTAATACTGTGAGATTCAAAACTTACATTTCTTATTAAATTAGTCCATCGGTGGTGTACAGACCCTTGGTGCAGTGTGTCAGTGTGTCCAGTGTGCCACCCAGGCTGTGCTGGGGCAGCAGCCCCACATGGGGATGATGGAGCCACGAGTTCTCCCATGGTGACTTTTTGAGGACAGAGGGTTTTCTGATGGAGCTGCTGTCCCCCAAAGTGCTGTGGGTTGTTTTCCTCACCTCAGTGTCACACGCTGGTCCGGGAGGTGCYGCCCTGCCCTGCTGTGGTCCCAGCCCCGTTGGGTGGCAGTGTCCCCTCGTGCTCAGGTGTGTGCCTCACCTGAGTTCTCAGCTCACACATCCCCTCCAAGGGGCTGCTCAGTCCCTGCACAGAGGATTCTGTCATTATTAACCTGCATCCCTGGATTAGTGTGAGCAGCTGTAATGGGACAGCCTGGGGGGAGCTGGGGCTGGGAGGGACGGGCACATCTGAAAGCTGGAGCAGGGGGAGGGAGGGAAGGGTGGTGGTGATGGTGATGTGATGGTGAGGGTGGTGATGATGGTGAGGGTGATGATGGTGAGGTGGTGATGGTGATGATGGTGATGGTGATGATGATGGTGATGATATGGTGATGGTGATGGTGAGGTGATGGTGATGGTGA